AAACCCTAAACCCTAATTATAACCCTACTTACTAAGTCCCATGATCCTTTAAGTGGGGGTAAAGTTAAGGTCTTCCGGCCTCTCCTTGGGAGCCAGGGTCTTGGGTTCAGCCTTTCGGTCGGAGGTTCAGGGCTTAGGGCTAGGTTTAGGGTTTAGGGTTTAAGGGTTTAGGGTTTAGGGTTTAGGGGTTTAGGGTTTAGGGTTTAGGGCTAGGTTTAGGGTTTAGGGTTTAGGGTTTAGGGTTTAGGGTTTAAGGTTTAGGGTTTAGGGCTTGAGGTTTAGGGTTTAGGGTTTAGGGTTTAGGGAGCGCCTCGTGAACTCGAAATGACGCCGGTTCCGGTACTCTCAGGTGTCGGCTTCGCATCTTTTTCGGGGAGAGTTTGGACATCAGTAGCACCGTGGACAAAAAGGCCCAAAGACGAGCATACACGGAGAAGCCGTGGCACCCTTAATTACTTTTAGACCCTCAATCCGACTGTCGTACAGGAGTGAATAATTAGAAGAGGGTTTCTTAGGGCGGTGTAATATGCCCCGAAACCACATTCTAGCTATGAAGGCCCCTATACCCTAAACCCACCAAATACCCTAAATCCCTGGTAAGTCTTTCTGAAAACCCCGGTATTGGAACCCTTTTCATACCTACTCGTAAGGCCCTTGTATTCCTGGGTCACTTCTTCAGGCAGCCATCGCCGAGGGATCTCGACATTGCGAGCCCTGGCACGCCTGTCCTCAGGAGGTTGTTGGGGTTGCGGGGTTTGCATTTTTTACGGCTTCGGGCTTACTGCCATCAGGGTTACAGGTGGGATTACCCTACGCTGGTTGAGGTAGGTTCTAGCAGGACTTGGGTTTAAGCTTAGTTTTTTTGTTGGATTTACGTTTTCGGGTTCAGGGTGTTCGGCAACGCTAGGGTATATGGACGTTGTTTTGAGGGCGCTTTGTTTGTGAGGGGCTAGGATTCAGACTCCCTTGCACCTTCAAGGTATCATGCTCGTCATCACCATCGTCAAGATCATCAGCATCGTCATCTCCTTCTTCAGCAGTATGCAGGTCGCTGTTTCCGGTATGACTGTGATGATGCAGTCTGATTTTTCGTCATGAATGGTCGCCGGGCAAGGCGTGCCATCCTCCAACCCAGAGACCTGGACCCTAAACCCTAAACCCCTAGACACTAAACCCCTAAACCCTAGACCCTAAACCCTAAACCCCTAGACCCTAAACCCCTAAACCCTAGACCCTAAACCCTAAACGCCTAAACCCTAAACCCTGCAAGTCCAGATCTCCGCCCTTGGAACCTTGAGCCCTACCATCAGAGACTCCTCTTTAACCCTAACCCACCAGGTGCCTACTACAGTATGTAGGGCCCTAAGGGCTCTAGTAGTACCCTATATAGTAGGTACCTGGGGGTTAGGGTAAGTTCGACAACATAAACAAAACACCCTGGTCCACAAGGCTGCCCGGGCTCTTCGGAATGAAAATCCGGCTGACCACCTCCCCGTCGTCATACCTGCACACCAAACTCTGACCAGAACTCTTGGGGGATTCTTAGGGTTTAGGGTTTAGGGTTTCGGGTTTAGGGTTTAGGAGCCCCTATAAACCCTAAAGGCATGAAGGTGAACTCCGAAGCATCAAGGACCTCAACGAGGGAGTGAAGGCAGGAGGGGCTGAGGATGGCTTATAGGAAGGCCTCTTAAATACCATAGGGGCCTTTGATACTTAGAAGAGGGTTCTTGGGCCCATTATAATTTACTATAATTATAACAAGGAACCCGCCAAATAGTATTGGTAAGTATTTGGGCCTCCCAAATATTATTGGCAATTATTTGGGCCACCGTATTCTTAGGATTCTGCTACCTGCGGAGCCCTGTGACAGAGGCGTGCGAAGTGTCGGCAGCTTGCAGTGGAACTTCGTTGTGAAGAGGGCTTTTGCTTTTGGAGCATCGCCGAGTTCACAGAACGGTCACATCCACCAAACCACGAAGCAACAAATGGATCGACCAAAACCCTAAACCCTGAACCCTAAACACCCTAAACCCTGAACCCAAAAAACCTAAAACCTAAACCCTGAACCCTAAACCCTGAACCCCAATCCCTGAACCCGAAACCCTAAACCCTAAACCCTTGACCCATATACATACGCCACAGCTCACAGGCCACGACACGGTCCTGCTCCAGCTCCAAGGTTTCGGGCTTTGGGGTTTCCATCTCCGGATTTACAGGGGGTTTAGGGTTTATAGGGTTTAGGGTTTAGGGTTTAGGGTTTAGGGTTTAGGATGTGGGGATTGGAGGCTTGAGGCTTTATAGGGCTCAAAATTGGGCGGGCTATGCAGCTTTTTTGGGGTTGAAGCTCTCTAACAATGCAGAGCTCTAATAGAGGGGCCTTAATGCTAAGAATAGGGTTTTGGGGCAGATTGTACTATAATTACAACAAGGAATCCCCCAACATCATATAGGTAATTATTATACAGAAAAGCCCCTATATTCTATTAAACCTGCTTTTGGCCTCTTATTAAACAATAAGGAACCCCCCCGCCCAAACATATTATAGGTAACTATTCTAAGGCCCCTATATTCGTCATGTCTGGAGACCCTAAACCCTAAACCCCAAACCCTAATCCCTAAACCCGAAACCCTAATCCCTAAATCCCTATATTCTATTAAACCACCCTTTTTGGCCTCTTATTATACAATAAGGACCCCCCCCCAACATATTACAGGTAATTATTCCAAGGCCCCTATATTCACCCCTAAACCCTAGCACCCTTAAACTCCTAAACCCTTAAACTCCTAAACCCTTAAACCCTAATTATTCAAGCCCCTATATTCTTTTTTAAACCACCCAACATATTATAGGTAGTTATTATACAGTAAGGCCCCTACATTCTATTAAACCCCTTTTGGCCTCTTATTATACAATAAGGAACCCCCAACATATTATAAACCCGAAACCCTAATTATTATAAGACCCCTATATTCCATTAAACCCCCCTTTTGGGCCTCTTCTGAACCCTATATTCTATTAAACCCCCCAACATCATATAGGTAATTATTATACAGTAAGACCCCTATAAATAGATTAAACCCCCCTTTGGACCTCTTATTATATAATCCTAAACCCGAAACCCTAAGTGTTCAGACATAATATAGGAAGTTATTATACAGTAAGACCCTATATTCTGTTTTAACCCCCCCCCCTTTGGGCCTCTTCTTATATAATCCCTAAACCCGAAACCCTAATTATTCAGAACCCTATATTCTTTTTTTAACCCCCCCCCTTTGGGCCTAAAGCCCTAAACCCTAAACCCTTTGGGCCTCTTCTGAACTACCTGCGCTCCAGCAGCTTCCAGTCGACTGTACTCGTCGGGGTTGTGGGCCTCCCATTGGTTTTTGGGGTTTTGGGGTTTTAGGGCTTTGGGGTTTTGGGTTTTGGGGTTTTGGGGTTTTGGGGTTTTAGGGTTTTCGTGTTTTAGGGTTTTAGGGTTTTGGGGGTTTTAGGGTTTTAGGGTTTTAGGGTTTTGGGGCTTTAGGGTTTTAGGGTTTTGGGGTTTTGGTTTTAGGGTTTTGGGGTTTTAGGGTTTTAGGGTTTTGGGTTTAGGGCTTAGGGGTTTAGGGTTTAGGGTTTCTGTTCTCTACAGTAGTCTCTTTTCCACTGGTCAGAAATCCTTGACATTGGGGCCTCGGCTATACAAAATTCTACATGGGCATCGGCTACTTCTACTGATGTACACGATAACTTACTCAGCTTGAAGACGCACACACACACACACACACACACTCTTTCTGTGCATGTATATACATGCATTTAAACTTTCTCTCTGTCTCTCCCCCTCTCTCCCTCTCTCTCTTCCCTCTCGCTCAACTATATCGGCTGCTTATCGTTCTGGTTGTGGGCTTCGGGATCTCTATGTGCGATATGGGATAGCCGCCGCCGATGGCTTCAAGAGCTGCTTGGCGAGAAGCCGGATGCAGCAGAAGGTCGCGAGGTCTGAGTGGCATGATGAGCCTTGTTCCGCAGAAGCCGATATGTGTATAACTCTGCCGTCTGTCAGAGATCACTATCGAGCGCGCCGGATTCGCGAGTTCTGAGCAAGATGGTGGACCCCTCATCCTTTCGTTTTATATCTCGCGTGGGGAGCTGAGCCTGCGTGAGCATGACGGCTGCTTCTCGAAACCTATACGCGAACCTCAACCCGAAACTCGAAGTGTTGTGCCAAGGCTATGACTGGTGCGATGCCTTGCCCTAAGCTAGATAATCATCTAAATCACACCGTAGCTAGATTGTTAGATATCGCATAGGGGCAGAAAACGGACGGCTGTGCTCCAACGTTCGTGTCTAAAGCTGGAGCGTGGTTCAGGACAGGCAAGCCAGCAATATCGGGGTGCAGTGACGGCGGTCTGGTGAGGGTTCCATGGTCGAGCGATTTCAAGATTTCGGTTATAAGATACAACCATGATGTGAAAAACCGTTGTAGTTGGACGCAGCCATGCCTAGAATAGGGCCTAGAACTTTTGACAAACGCAGTCCAACAGCCACATGACTCCTCGAACAGGAGCCCCAGAAGATACATGCAAACTCTATGGTCCTCCCGCAACCCTCCTTCTTGACTCTGCGTGGGGGAACATGGCACTTCCACAAGTACGGGGCCAAGATATACGCCCTGAGTGGTAGATTTTGAGAAGCACGAGATACATGGGAGTTTCAGAACATACACGGTAAATATTAGGATACCTAAACTAAACGCCGTCCCTGCCGCAAGAAGGGAGCCGTCAGAACCGCCAAACCGTCTACAGAGCCTCGTAAGAATCTGCAGCTCAAAAACCCTCCCCAACAACACAACACGCACAAAGACACATGCACATTTCTGCATCCCTTCCGTTCCTTGGCCTCATACGAAGCAGATGCATTTAAAGGTTTATGCATGTACGTGTTCAAGGCGCCCCCCGCACATATCACAGAATACTTCAGCTGTCTTCGTTGGCGGGCAGCATGCTGCAGGTAGGCTCTCATTCGCAGTTTCGGAACCGAGAGACACGCACCTTGTACCACACCCTAAGCCCTACCCTCTCAAACTCCTTAACAAAATCTTCTAAGAACACAACAGAACCGATTAACCCTCAATCCCTAAACCCTAAACCCGAAACCCTCAAACACAGCCAGCCTTGTGCTCCGTTGTGGCGAAGACGGGCCGACCTGAGAATGAGATCGAGTGGGCTTGGGATTTTCGGATCCCTAGAGCCCTGGAGGATCTCATCCTGCTGGAGTTTGAGGAGACTTACGCTGACCCACCAGGTACCTACTATATAGGGCTTTAGGGGCTCTAGTACCCGATATAGTAGGTACCTGGGGGGTTAGGGTTAGCTGAAGAAAAAGCTTCAGAGAAGCGTCGGGTGGCCCTTTTGCCCTGATCCCCATACGTCTAAGACCTAAACCCAGAACTCAGAAAACCCTGCAAGCCGCAAACCCACAGAGCCCTGGAAATCTAAGGGATCCGAGGAACCGAGTACCCGAAACTCTCTCTCTCTCTCTCTCTCTCTCTCTCTAACGTACGAAACTGAACCTGCAGAGCTAAAAGGCCAGGAAGTGTGCTTTTTGAGGACAGGTGTGCGTCTTGTTATGCTGCACCATTGTATTGTCCCAAGCCGCGAACCCTGATCATAGTCTCCATAGTCTTGTGCCGATGAACCATAACATTCCCCAAACCCTGAACCCAACACCCTAAACCCAAAGCCTTGCGCACGAAACCCAAGCCCTACATAAGCCCTACGCCCAAAACCTACACCCCAAACCCAACACCCTGAACCCTTTTCCCAAAACCCCAAGCCCCATACTCCAGCCCCCCCCCCGCCCCTTCCCGGCTTCTCCGAGATAGGCCTGAGTCCATGTCACCCAGTACGACTCTCGAGTCGCCAACCTTGGCCCACTTGGCTCGCGGCTTTGGGGCCTGGGGGTTTCTACAAGGATCTATCGGGGTCGCAGAAAGAAAGGGTTCCATACGGATCCCCAACAGATCTAGCGTTTAGCGTCTGAGGGTTGTATTGGGGGCCTTACTATAGTAAGGGATCTTCTTTGGCTTCAGGGGCTTAGAGCTTGAGGGTCTAAAGGTACAGGGCTTTGGGTTTAAAGGTATAGGGCTTTGGGCGTAGGGTGATGAACACTAGCAAGTAGCATTAATAACAGGCGCAAGCAGAACAAACACAATAGAACTAATCATCAACGATAGGGCATAGTAGTACTAATACGCACTAATCGTTGTCTTTTCTGTGATAGCTCCACTTCCGCTTTTGGGTTCATACAACCCAAGGAGTTTAGGAAGTAGGGTCCACAGCTTATTGTAGTTACCTATGAAGGTTTCGGGATCAGTGCTACTGTTTAGAGCTTAGGGACAAGGAGTAGAGATGGGGATCTAGTGATGGCAACAAGGGTCTGGGATCAGGGTCTTTGAGTGAGGGGTGTAGGGGTTCGGTCATTGAAATCAGGTCTGCGGGACCATACTTTGTCGTCTGGATGGAAGGTCATGACGGTTATGAGCTTCTCTCTGGTGAAGCAGAACAGGCAGCTGCAGACGCAAGATATCGAGCGGGGTCGTGGGAAGATATGGGTTCAGTGCCTGAACTCTATAAATCCTCTGAGCCGCAATGAGCCCTAAACCCTGTACACTGCACACCCTAACTTCGGCGGTCCTCAAACATCCCCTGCATTCAGAATGCACAATGTGGCCCAGTCGCAGGTTTGGGGTATGGAGGGTCTTGAGTCTCGCGGAAAAGGCCGGAATTCCTCGAAGATCCTTCCCAATATCCCACCACACAACACCGGGGCATGCGAAGAGTTTGAACACCTCGCATTCTGGGCAAGGCCTTTCTGCTGTTTCAGCTAGACGCTCTAAGCCCAAATCGCTGCAACTTAGAACGACAGCAAGAATGCGCATTCCTCTAAGACCAGGGCAGTAGCGAACCAGACCGTGCCGGCGCTGGGTTGCATGCAGCACCTATGCGATTTTCGGGGACTGCCGGGGGCATTCGTCGGGCAGTATTGGTCGCACTGCACTAGGATGTGCATAAAGACTAGTCGTAGTAGCAACAGCAGTCGTCGTTGTCGTCGTAGAGGCACATCATGAATAATCTTTTTGGGCGACAACAGCCCCCCTTGGCATGCCCGTATCTACAATGTCAAGTCAGCTTTTCGGACGTCATGCAAGCGGGACAGCATGACTCATAATGCTTGTCATGACTGTTACTGCTTTCAGTATCAGTTCTACTTTGGCACAGTTCGTCTTGCTACAGCATCCCTTTTCACCGGTGACCCTTTCCGCAGCCTCTGTGGCTGTGACTTCGAACTAGGAATAGGCGATGGCTAAACGCTGAAACCTTCGCCCCACACCCGACACCCACCATAGCTTGCATTTAGGGTTGAGAGCCGTCGCCTGGCACAAGGCTTCAACGCAGCAACTCTCGAAGTTTGGGTCGGACGTCGTTTCTAGCGCTTCGCAGGGGCTCTCTCGGGGTTCGTTCACATAAGGGCTCTCCTAGTAGCGCTTTGTAAGGTCTTTTTTAGGGGGTGCGCAAGGTCCTCTTAAGGAAAGTAGTGAGGGCCCTATTCCCGAGTCAGTGCAAAGGAACCGTTCAAGAATATATCTTCACCCAGCAGTCTACTCTTGCTTTATGATGAGACCCTCGATATTCATCAACACCGCTCCTCAGGGTTCCTGAGGTTCCTGACTATAAGTATACCACAGTCTACCCCCCCAAACCCAATTTAAAATACTACGGCCCCTACTATTTACAAAAGTTATAGCGCTAGGAATCCTCAAGCCCCAAAACCCTAGGCCTTGGAGGCGCTTAGCCCCCGTAACCTCGACTAGAACCCTGAAGCCAAAGTGAGCCCTACCGGCAGGTAAGTTCGAGTAGAACTTCGGGCGTTTAGGAAAGTAGTTGTAGAGGCGGCTGCTAGAGCCAACGTCCGAAGCATGGCTTGGGATTCAGGCTTTGGGGCGAAGTGTTTCCGGGTTGAACTGTTTAGGCAGGGGTTTGGGGGTCTCACATTTCGGGGCGTGGAACCCTAATGCCTTAAACCGGTCTCAGGGGCTTAGCTAAAGCTCGGAGTCCCGAGTTGGTCTCAGCCGCGGCGCAACGCCACGGTCGCTCCACTAAAAACCTGGCGCTGCGACCCGCGGAGCGAAGTCTTAAAGCCGAAAGAAAGACTCATAAGAATAATGTAGGGGTCTTTAAAGGGTTCCTTAAAAGGGATACTATATTGGGGTTACTAGAAGGGTTCAATAAAGGGGCCTTTAAAGGGTTCCTTCATGCCTGCCACCCTTATGGGCTTGGGTCTCAGAAGATCATTCTTATAATGGCTTGGGGGACCTAAGTCCGTAATAGTAGTGTATATATATATATACATATATATAATGTGAAAGGTTGGTCCAGGGGGGGGGGCTAGCATATATATATATATATAGATAGGTTAGGGTTTAGGGTTTAGTGCGTGAGGGTTTGGT